CCCCAAAACCCCAAAACCCCAAAACCCCAAAACCCCAAAACCCCTCTTTTTTTATGACTCTTTGAATCTAATAAATAAATATGTTATCTAATTTAGCAGCAAGGAGAGTTAGAGTCTTGCAGACCACTTTTGTTAGAGCATTCTCAGGCAATGCTATCTTGAAGGACTTTGCTACAGTAGATCCAGTTAATCTAAGCGCAAGCTCTAAACTTCAGAACTTGTGTAATGGAGAATGGGTAGGAACTAAGAGCTGGAAGAACCTTATTGACCCACTGGATGGGAAAATCATTGGGAAAATTCCAAATCCAACCCAGAAGAATGGCGAACTCAAGCCATTTATCGATTCTTTGCTGTCATGTCCTAAATCAGGCTTACACAACCCGATCCAAAATCCTGAAAGATATCTTCTGTACGGGGAGGTTTGTAAAAAGGCAGCTAATCTGTTGGACGATCCAAAGATAAGTGATTTCTTCTGCACCCTAATGCAGAGAGTTGTTCCTAAGTCATACGCGCAATGCTATGGAGAGCTTGAGGTTACCAAGAAATTTCTAGAGAACTTCTCGGGAGATAACGTCAGATTTTTGGCAAGATCATTTGCGAATCCAGGAGACCATACAGGTCAAATGAGTCAAGGATTCAGGTGGCCATATGGTCCAACCGCATTGGTAGCACCATTTAACTTCCCTATTGAAATTCCAGTCCTCCAAATGATGGGATCTCTGTTCATGGGAAACAAGGTTCTCGTTAAAGTTGATTCAAAAGTTTCCATTGCTATTGAGCAATTTATTAGAATGCTTCATCACTGTGGTATGCCAAAGACTGATCTAGATTTGATCCATTGTGAACCAAAGCCAATGGAATCTATTCTTAGGAGGAGCAAGCCAAGACTTATCCAGTTCACAGGCTCATCTACCGTCGCTGAAAGACTTAGCAAGCTTTTCAATGGCAAAGTCAAGATTGAGGATGCAGGATTCGACTGGAAAATCTTGGGCCCAGATGTAGGTGATGTTGACTATGTTGCTTGGCAATGAGATCAAGATGCTTATGCTGCTACAGGACAAAAGTGTTCCGCTCAATCCATCCTATTCGTTCATACCAACTGGCATAAGGCAGGGCTTCTTGAGAAGATGGAAGCTCAGGTTGCTAGGAGAAGCTTGAAAGATCTCACAATTGGTCCAGTCATGACTTGGACTAATGCTCAAATTGAAGAGCATATTTCTAAACTTCTCGAGTTAGATGGAGCTAAAGTTCTTTGGGGAGGAAAGAAGCTAACCGGACATTCTATTCCTGCTGTATACGGAAGTTTCGAGCCAACCGCCATTTATGTGCCAATCAAGCACTTCACTACAAAGAAAAAGATCGCATTGATTTGCACTGAAGTATTTGGTCCTCTACAGGTTATCACTGATTACAAGTTGAATAGTCTTCAAAGAGTAATGAATACTCTTGATGAGATTGAGCATAACCTTACAGCTGCCGTAGTGTCAAATGATACCGATTTTATTAATGAAGTGCTCGGAAGCACAATCAATGGAACTACATATGCTGGAAGAAGAGCAAGAACTACTGGAGCTCCTCAAAATCACTGGTTCGGACCCTGTGGAGACCCAAGAGGTGCAGGAATTGGTACACCTGAAGCAATCAGGCATGTATGGTCTTCCCATAGAGAGATTATCTGGGATATGGGACCAGTTCCAGCTGAATGGGAATCAGGTACTCTTCCTAAGCCAACATAAGAAATCACAAATTTCAAATCTAGATTGCTTTGGAGGGGTTTTGGGGTTTTGGGGTTTTGGGGTTTTGGGG